GCAGTGAGAGTGATTCATGTCCTTCAGAAAGGAATTATTTGTCTTGCCTCCTTCTTATTCTCCTCCTCCTCCTCCTCCTCCTCCTCCTCCTCCTATTTTTCCTGCTCCTCTTTCTCCTTCTCATTCTTTAGAGATAGGGTCTCATTCTGTAACCCAGGCTGGACTCAAACTCACAGTGATCCTTTTGGCTCAGTCTCCCAGTGCTGGGATTACAGGTATGTGCCACCATGCCCAACTGTGCAACAGTTTTAAATGGAATTGATCACTATCTTTGAGGTGAAAGGAAATGGCAAAATTGTTGAGTTTATGGCTTCAGGAGTCCCTTGTGTAGAATCATATCAGGTTTTATGTAATTATTGATACATTTCTGCTTCAAGGACAGTGGCTTAGCTCTGTCTGTCAGAGGGGAAATCACGTGGAAAGATCTTGTGACAGGAGGGAGTAAAACTGCTTTTTCATCTTCAAGGCCCTCAGAACTGAGTGCACAAGAAGACCTGGGAAGGATGCCAACTTCCTCCAACACAGAGCATCGTAAGTGTATTTTGTTTTTAGAGTGATTGTCTGGTACAGCAGTTCATCTGGTGGATCAGATTACTAGCTCTGCTGATTATCACTATTTTAGCAAATATTCAGTTCTTAAAGACTTAACTCTATTAAACGTGTACTTTTTGTCACCATTTGATTTAAAAATATTTTATAATAATCTTCAAAAATAATTCTTTTCCCATTTTTCATTTTCAGCTTTTATTAATACAAGGTATGATAAAAAAAACTACGTTGAATGTACTTTAAAAATTTATTACATATTGTTGTCAATTCCTTTAAAATATCTCTTCCTCCGTCACCTTTGAACACATTTATCTTATCCTCCTTGCTACTTGCTGAAGCAGTTCTGTAGTATTCTTCCCTAAGTGTCTTTAGTTGTGCTGTCCTGGCTGCCTCATGCCCTGAATCAGTTCAAAATGTTTCCCTTTTATCGTGATTTTGGCTTTGGAGAAGAGCCATAATTCACACAGTGCCAGACCTTGTGCAGAAGGTGGATGGGGACACACCATGATGTTTCTCTTTCACAGGAGTTGCTGTAAATGTTTCACTAGATTCAGAACATTGAGGAAGCCATGAAAACACACAAAAGGCAGCTTTCAAAATTTCTTCAAAAAATGGCAAAAACTATGGGATAAATGTGTTCAGGGGAAGGGGAGGATTTTTGCGGGGGAGTCTTTTACTGTAATAAATTTTTACACCATATTTTTTTCATCAGACCTTGTACAAAAATACACAATAAAATTTTTTTTTTGGTACCAAGAATTGAACTTTGGACCTTGCACTTGCCAGGCAGGTGCTTATGTCACTGAGCTATAATAAAATTTTTGTTTTGTGCTTCAGAGCATTAAACCCAGGGAACACTGAACTACATTTTCAGCCCCCTTTATTATGTATATTGAGACAGTCTCACCATGTTCCTGAAGCAGGCCTCAAAGTCCTGATCCTCCTAGCTCAGCCTCCTGAGTACTGGGATTACAGGCTATGAAAGGGTTAGCAGGGCCACAAGACAGAACTAAAAACTAGACAGGGAGGCCAATGAGGTGCAAAAATCACCCACAGGTGAGTAGATGAGATCACAGCTGAACAGAGATGCTCAAGTCCCACTAGTTTGGACAGAGAGGCCACCCTTACATAGGCAGAAGGGACAGAGTCAGAGTTCTTTGCTGCCAACCCTGGACACATTTGCCAGGTGGGGTGGTAAGATGATGGGAGGTGTGAACCACTGTGCCTAGCATTGAGCATCTGTCCTTTCAAAGGAAGCATGTGAGGGTCAGTCAGTGTGTCTGCCAAGCTCTTGGGCCTAGTTTCTCTGCTGTGGAATTGGTACTTCATGTATCTCAGTGCAATTTGATAATTTCACTGGTGATTTTTTATTAGCACACTCAGTTTATCAGTTTATCTCTTATGATTGTGCTGTGCATCCAGGGCTGGTTCTTTCTGATAAGTCTTGTGCATTCAGTTCTATCTCATGGTTGTCTGTTAGCATAGACAAGTTACCAAGTTAACGTGGCCTGGTGCTTGCACCTCGGATTGAACTACTGTTTGATGAAGCAGAGTACAGAGTTACTGCATTAGGGCAGGGCACAGCCCGCTCTATGCAGAAAGAGATGAGCCTGGGGTGAAGGGAAGATCCACATAGAGTTCTTAATGGCTGAAACCAGTTTTTCCTGGGTCTGTCTTGTGTCAGTTTTCCATTAGCTGTTGAGGTCCCAGCTGTCTGTCTGTGTGGCTGGCTGGGCAGGCACCTTGCCTGAAATAGAACATAGGTTAGCAAAAAGATGGTCTCCTATGGTTTGGGAGCATACCCCAAAGCGGAGTGACAGCTCTGGGAACAATTCTTATGTTTCTGTAAAACTCATGCCAGGGACTTCTGCATCCTGTCTCCTCAGCTTCCACAGCCTTCACACCTAGGAACAGGCATGCACCATATTTCACGCAGCCCCAAATAACTCACCTAGCATACCTCAGCTTGGAACTTCTGCTTGCCATGTTCCTAATTTAATTTTGTGTTAAAAATTGTACCTGACTAATAAACAACAAGACATTCTGTAAGTAAATATGGCTTATCTTGAGTCTACTTGTTTCATATAGTTAATCTACAAAAGCACAGAGGAGAACAGTGTTTCTGTGTCCATGGGTCTGACCAAATATCAATCCAGCTTGGTTAGTGCAGTAGGATAATATGCTCCCAGGGAGTTGGCACCTGTCATGGTATAGTCTGTGTCCCCCAGGCCTCATGAGTTTGCATTGTGTATTTGTGATTAGTTCATTGTCAAGTGCTTGGATTGATGGTGTCAGTGCTCCACCCACATAGGGGTGGAGCCAGGATGTGATTTAATGGCAGGAAGAAGGTAGGTCTCTCTCTCTGCCATTTCGGGCTTGCTGTTTGCAGCCACCATGAAAGGCAACCCAGCCATGCCAGCCTGCCTGGGAGCCAACTGAGTGTGGACTGAAACCTCTAAAAAAAACTGTAAGAAATAAACCTTTCCTTTCCCAACTTGGGCATCAGGTATTTTGTCTCAGCGACGAGCCGAGCGTAAAGTAACAAAGACAGAATTTGGTACCAAGGAGTGGGGTCGTTTGCTGTGACTATACCTATCCATGTTTTTCAAGAGGCTTTGGAAATTGCTTGTGGGCAGAGTTTGGAAAGGTTTGGACATGTTGCCTGGATGCATAGAGCTGGAGCAGCTTAGGCTGTTCTGTAGAGGAGATTCTGGTCTGAGTTCCAGAGACCAGAAGGCTGATAAAAAGCCTCAAGGTAAAGACCAGGCTTGGGAGGTTTCTTCTGGGAAGGACTGCATTGGTCGTTGGACTCCACATGATGTGTTATGGCTTGGCAGAAAGTTTGTCTGCATTTTACTCCTGCCCAGAGATTTTGCCTGAGACTGAGACAAAGGGCAATGGACTGATTAACCTTGAAAAAGAAATTAAAAAGCAATCAAACATTGAGGCTGTGGCATGGCTATTGTTGGGGGCTTTCAGCCAGCTTTATGTTTCAAATGGAGAGCAAAGAGCCCAGGAGGATAATTTACAATGCTGTAAGTTTGGCCAGAAGGAAAATTCCAGGAAGGCTGTGGATTGTAAAGACAGAGTTGAGATTTTGATTCCTGAGGAGAAACAGAGAGATAAAAAAGATGGCCCCAGGGCATCCCAGGAAGCGGGTCCCCACCCTGTGCAGCCTCACAGCAAAGGTGAAAAAAATTTGCTCAGAGGGAAAACCTGCAGAGCGCCATGTTCCAGAATGGCGACAGCTGCCACATGAGGTTCCAGAATGGTGGCAACACAGAGAAGCTTTTTCTCATAATCAGGTAAACAGAGCCCTGCAATGCAGGCAACTGACCCCTACAGCCAAGAGAGAGAAAAGCCTGGCTACTGCTTCAGCTAGCAGCAAACCTTGGCGGCATCCATAACGTGCTGATTTTAGGTGCAAGGAAAATGCACAAATTCTGAGGGTAAGACGACTTCCACCTCAATTGCAAAGGGCCTGGCTGGCCAAGCAGTGTGCCCCTGAGAGGGCAATTTGTGAAGATGTAAGTGTGAAGCCGAAGGTGCAGTGGAGACTCCAGAAGTTTGGAAAAGCCAGGAATGTGGATGATCCAAGGGAAGCAGCAAAAAGCGAGTAGAGAAGATTTAAGAGAAAAGCTGCAGGAGTTGAAATCGCTGGAAGTGCCCTGGGGGTGGAATCACCCAAGGCTTTTGAAGCTTGTAACCAGATTGCTTCAGATGCTGAGCTTGGAACTCTAGGACTTAATGTTCGTCCTACTGGATGTTGGACTTGCTTTGTTTCCAATGCTTTATATTCCCCTCTTTGTAACTTTTGAAATGGTAATGTTTATCTTGTGCCTTTGTATTTCAGTAATGTTTAACCTTGTTTCATTTGTATAGGGGGTTACAGTTATGAGTTTACCATAGATCTTGGAGGAGACTTGTGACTTGGACTTTTCAGCAATGCTGAAGTTGTTAGGACTTTGGCAACTCTTGGAGGTGGACTAAATGTCTTTTGTATAAAGGATGTACATGAGTCCTGGGGGCCAGGGGTGGAATGTCATGGTTTATGTCTGTGTCCCCTAGGTCTCATGAGTTTGCATTGTGTATTTGTGATGGTTCATTGTCCAGTGCTTGGATTGATGGTGTCAGTGCTCCACCCACATAGGGGTGGAGCCAGATGTGATGTGATGGCAGGAAGAAGGTAGGTCTCTCTCTCTGCCATTTCGGGCTTGCTGTTTGCAGCCACCATAAAAGGCAACCCAGCCATGCCCGCCTGCCTGGGAGCCAACTGAGTGTGGACTGAAACCTCCAAAAAACTGTAAGAACTAAACCTTTCCTTTCCCAACTTGGGCATCAAGTATTTTGTCTCAGCGACTAGCATAAAGTAACAAAGACAGCACCCTAATACTTTGTATTGTGCCCATATATTTTTCTAATGTATTGTTCTGTTCTTCCTCTATTTCTAGAATCTACTTGAACCTGGAAGTTTCAGGAACAGGAACAAAGGGTTCTGGCATGAAGACAGAACTTTTCCATTTACCCCAAGTGCAAGAGGTTTGCTAATGTTACTCTTATCTCCTTTCTTGATTATTTCTGATTAGATCCACTTTCAGTGTTTCAATCCAAAACAAAGCTGAGTTGTCTTCTGGTTTGTTTTTCTGTCTCTGGAACCAAATACCTGACACCCACAACTTAAAGGAAGAGAGGTTTGTTTATTTAGCTCACAGACTCAAAGATTTCAGAGATTCTGTGGTCACCTGGCCCCAAGGCAGAATGGTATAGTAGAGGAAAGCTATTGAACTCATGTTATCCAGGAAGCAGGAGTAGGGGAAGAGCTAGACACTAGGTACAGTCCACAAGGTCATGGCCCTATGACCTGCTTCCTCCATCAGATGTACTTCCTCTTCAGGGATGGAGTCATCCGTGGGTACCCCACCAATGAGGTCAGTGCCCTCCCAACCCAGCCATCTCTTCAGGAGTCCCTTAATTCAATCAAGTTGATAAATGAGATTAACCTGTGCATGCACAGTATATAATTTTTAAAATATTAAAAATTAATATATAGCTTCTTTTACATGGGAAATTCATGGTTTCTAGGTCTCTGGAGTCCCTACAGTTTGGAGAGTTATGTGTGGAGTTGCTTTACTGCAAATATTGACACTGTTTTATGCCATAAAAAGCAGTGATGAGGATCTAGGATAGCCTCAGATCATTGGCTGGCCATTCTCCTTGTCCCCCAGACCTAGGACAGTGGTGGATTGTCAGCCACCCCTCCCCCCTCTATTGATGGTGCCAATTTGTTGACAGTATCTCCTCCTTGCCCCCTGGACCTGTGACAGCTGCAGGATCACCACCGGCCCGTCTTCTTCAAACCCCCAAGACCTGGGATGGTAGCAGATCATCAGCTGTCCCTCCTCCTCGCCCCCAGACCTAGAAAGGCAGCAGATTTTAGGTCACCCTTGCCCCCAACCCAGAAGACTGCAACAGCAGTCTTTCTGACAATCAGTAAGCCCTTGCACTATCTGAAGAAGCTTGCTGGGCTGATGGGCAACTCAGCAACACCTCATTCATACAGAAGACCTCAGCAAGCTTATAACAGTGTGGTGAGTTTCCCCCTGAAATAGAGGACCTCAGTGGGCAAACAGGAGCCATAGAAAAGTCTGTCTCCCCACCCCCTCAAGCTGTAGGACCTTGATGAAGCTGGCAAGTGTGTGGGTGAGTCCTTACTCCATACAGAGAACACCAGGGTGTTGAAGAGAGTGCTGATAAGGCCTCCACCCACCCAGAGGAAATCCAAAGGGCTTATGAGATACCCAGTGAAACAGTGGGGTCCCAGCTGAGGAGAGTACTATAGCCAGATACATCAGGCCTGGAACAACTTGAAACAGTGGTAATAGCAGGAACTAAGTGATCCGGCCTGTAGATCAACAAGTTTAGAGCTCCTGGAGGGGAACCGGGGATTAAATAAAAGACATGGGGGAGACAAAAAGAGACGAAGGCAAGTTGATGTGACCCAATCAAGCCTCCGGTTTATTGAGAAAATAATCACACCTTTTATAGGCTAAGGGCGGGAGCTGGGACAGGAAGAGGTTAAATAGATGAATACAACAGGGTTACCATCACATCCGGATAAGTGATGTAAGCAGAAAAGGATTATGGTTAATGTAGGCAGACGCAGTGCCCATAGGAGAGAGAGAGAGAGACATCTAGGCAGCAATGCCTGTCACTCGGCTCCCTACATCTCCTCCCTTTTTATATTATTTAATTAAGAGTATGGCAGGCCCTGTGAGGACAGCGTCTGTCTTAGGTCAAGGACCTCATTGCATGAACCCAACCAGGCCTTACCCGTCATGGGCTTGCAGAACAGCAGTTGGTCTTGTGTCTGTCTTAGGTGGCCGTTGGAATTAACATGTATGTCTTAGTTGCCCGTCTCTGACTGCCTGTCCATTGCCCCAGGGCAGTCAGGCCGCATCATCATATGGGCCACTCGTGGGAATTCCTTCCCTGTAGGTTTGTTGATCTGCCAACTCCAGCTGATGATAGTGTACCTGAATGGGCTTTGCCATAAATGTGTCTATCCGGTAATTAATGAACATCATAATCCTCTGAAAAATACAAGACTCACAGAAATGAGAAACAATAGGTCAGCTAGGGGACCCAAAAGGGGGACTAGGTAAGGGAGAAACTCCCCCCCCCCAAAATCAAGGAGAAGGGGTTGACAGCCATTTGTTGGTGTCTCTGTATGAAGTCATTTTCCTGTGTCTTGGAGCATGTCTTGTATAACACTGGATGTAGTCTATTTGGCTGGTGTATGTTCTTCCAGACCGAGAAGAGCCTCTTCCGCAGTCATGGGGTTCCGTGCATGGCTGTCAGCAGTTGCAGTCTGTTTGGCAGGGGTCAAAATCCACCATGGGTGTGGTGTGGCTCAAGAAGGCTGGTTAAGTAGCATAAGGCTCCAGGGAGATGTGTCACCTGTAAGAGAACACAGGGGATTGTGCCTCAGGAAATAACATTATTCCTGGGCGTTACATGGGGTCTTTGAAGAACTGTCTACTTGCTTTAGGAGGCGTTCAGGTAGCCATCTAGCTTCTCTATCTTGTTGAGAGTAAACACACACTGAACCTCGTCCCCAGATAAGGACTGGATCAGGGCCATTCCACACATTGGTTAGTGGGTCTCTCCATAAAACAGATGCAAACCGTGTTTGAGTCTGAGTATGCCAAAACCGAGATGCTGCGGAGCAGCCTGAAGCATCCAGGGTCAGAAAATTTAAAATAAAAAGAGCATGTGAAAGGACATTTCTAGGGGACCCCTGGGTGGGGTACCATGTCTCCCTTTTTATTTTATCTATGGTGAATTTAAGAGAACGATGCGCACGTTTAACAATGCCTTGTCCCTGAGGATTATAAGGTATACCTGTAGTGTGGAGGATATTAAGGCTTTTATAAAATTGAGCAAAGGAGGTGTTGGTATAGCCAGGGCCATTATCGGTCTTGAGCTGTTGAGGACATCCCAGAACTGAGAAGGCTGACAGCATATGGGCTATAATGTGTTTAGCAGCTTCTCTAGTCTGGAGAGTGGCAAAAATGAAGCCACTATAAGTGTCAATAATGACATGTACATATTTTAGATTGTCAAACTCACTGAAATGGGTAACATCCATTTGCCATAAGGCGTTAGGAATTAAACCTCTAGGGTTGACTCCTAGGTGTTGAATAGGTGAGTGGATAGCACAAGATGGGCAATTTTTTATAATTTGTCTGGCTTGCTCACGGGTAATTTTGTAGAGAAGGCGGAGGGTGTGAGCATTGAGGTGGTGTAACTGGTGGGCTTGTTGGGCCTCAGACATCCTGGAGTCCTGAGCCATAAAAACCTGTGCTCATACAGCAACATCAGCCAAATGATTTTCTTGGGCAAGAGGCCCTGGGAGGTTGGAATGAGCTCGCAGATGACCGATAAAGAACTTATGACGGCGAAGCCGTATGAAGCATTGTAATTGTTTGAACAGATTTGCAGCTGGGGAAGCATGACATATAGTAGCAACAGTCTCTAATAATGGAACAGACTGGGCAAGATAAGCACTGTCAGTATACAAATTAAATGGTTGGTCAGAGTAAGCAGCAAAAGCTGCAAGAATAGCTTCTAACTCTGCTAATTGTGTAGAGGAAGTATCTGCCTAGAGGGTAGAAACATTGTCTTGAGATATATAAGCAGCCCTTCCGGAGGATGAGCCATCAGTGAATAAAACCAGGGCACCCGGAAGGGGTTGTGAAGCTGTGACTTTAGGGAGTATAAATGAGTGACGATTAGCAAAGTTAACTAGCTTATTTGGAGGGTAATGATTGTCAATAGTCCCTGAATAGGAAGCTAAGGCAATAGGCCACACTTTAGTACTCTGAAGTAGCCAATCTATTTGGTCTTTTGTAAAAGGTTGAATGATAATATCTGGTTCTTTGCCAAAGTAACATTTTTTTTGTTTTTTACCCTGGATTATTAGGTCTGAGACAGCTTGGAAATAAGGCAAAAGTGGTTTTTTTGGAGAGACTGGTAAATGGACCCACATGAGGGGAGCTTGTTGTCAGAACACTGCTGTAGGGCAAAGCTTTGTATTAAAAATGAGAAACTGTAAAGGCTCATTGTAGTCCATAAAGGAAACAGTTTGTTGAGCAATAGCCTCTTTTACTTTACTGAGCGCTCTCCTGGCATCAGGTGTAAGCTCTCGGGGGGAAGTTGGATCTATGTCTCCCCGAAGCAGCGCATAAAGGGGCTGTAAATCATGTTTAGTTAGTTTTAAAAATGGTATGAGCCAATTAATATCTCCCAATAGTTTTTGGAAGTCATGAAGTGTTCTGAGACCATCAAGCCTCAGTTGGGGCCTTAAAGAGAGTATTTGAGTGCCACATAATTGAAAACCCAAGTAAGTATATGGATCAGTAAGCTGTACTTTATCAGGGGCTATTTGAAGTCCAGCCTCTTGTAAGGCAACCTGTAAGTCCTGGTAGCACCTTAGGGTTTGGTTTTGATCATCTCCTGCCAAGAGGATATCGTCTATGTAATGAATAATATAGATATGTGGCCAATGATCTCTGACTGACTGTATTGTAGTGGCTACAAAAGACTGGCATAGTGTGGGGGAGTTGGCCATACCTTGTGGCAAAACCCTCCATTGAAATCTCTGCATAGGGGCTTTAAAATTAATTGATGGGAGACTGAAGGCAAAACGCTTTTGGTCCTTTGGATGTAAAGGAATAGAGAAAAAGCAATCTTTAAGATCTATGACAATTTTAAAAAATCCTAAAGGAATGGCACTGGGTGAGGGGAGGCCTGGCTGTAGGGGCCCCATTAAGACCATTGTCTTATTTATCGCCCTAAGGTCTTGTAGCAGCCTCCACTTTCCTGACCTTTTCCGTCTAACAAAGATAGGTGTGTTCCAAGGGGAATTACTAGGAACAATGTGGCCTGTATCTAACTGTTCCTGCACCAGCTGCCTTGTGGCTGCAAGCTTTTCAGAGTTAAGGGGCCACTGATCGACCCATATCGGCTCATCTGATAGC